TACTGTATAAAATTGAATGATGAAAAGAATTTAAAATAAAATCTAATAAAATAATAAATTCGGAACATTTGAGGAAGCATAGATATATAACGTCGATAAGAGCAGACTAGTCATCCTCTGTTCCAAGGCCATTTTTCGGTCATATTTTAAAGCTTTTTGCAACACTAAGAAATTATTATCGAAATTTCTCATAAAAAAGAAAACAGATTTTTCAGAAAAAAAAGAGAAAAAAAAATTCCTCCATGTAGACATTGAGGATGAAAAATCTAAAAAGAAAGTCAAATCTAAAAGTTAGAAGCAAATTCAATTAAGAATGATTAGTACTGTAATTTCAACGACTTTTTATCTTTCCATGATCAGTTCACATTTGATAGTCCCAAATTCATTTACTAATTTCTTCCTATTTTTTTTTCTTTAAAAATAAATCATATTGGTAAATGAGAATGTGAATTGAACTAATCTTGGTATATTTAATGAAAGCAGCAAATAGTTTCATTCGTTCTTTTCTTGAAACTGCATGTCTTTTAAGAATGATATTTCAAGCACTGGAGAAAAAAAATGTAAAACGAAGAAAAAAACGACAACACAAATAATGCGATGTTTTACTTAAATTTTTATTATCATTTTTTTTTTCTTTGAATTGATATATTAAAGAACTTTATAGTTTTCATTATTTGCTAACTTTTTTAAGACTTAATCACTTATTTACTTTTTTCTAATTTCTTTTCTCAAAAAATTCCGAAGGAAATCTAATTTCTTTCTTTTTTTAAAAACAAGTGAGGTAAAACTTAAAAAATTTATAAACTACGAAATATTATCTGTAACTTCAAGGAGAGCATCTCGAACTTTGCTCAATATGGAATTTTATATAATGAGTATATCATTTAAATTAAAGAAAAAAACTTTCGTAATTAATGATATCGAAAAAAACAAATGTTTTACAATGAAAGGGCAAACATTTTCATTTTAATATCAAGTATCCTGTGACACTATTATAAAGATTTATTTCAAGCGAAAACATCAAAATGAAGAAATCCTACATTAAAAATGCACCGAATTTCTGTCACAATATTAGCTGCACTATACGAAATACTGGAGCTACTCAAAATACTAGGAAATAAAAAGTCATAAAATTATGTACCTACCAGTTTATGAGAAACATATATCAGAGTAATTTATAAGTGCATTTAATGCTCTTAAATCAAACACACTAGCTTATGTACAAATTTTAGTGACTGGGAAAAAGCAAAGTACAGAATCGCAAATATTTCAAATATTATGCAGATAACAATTATCATCCATCAGTGATTAAATACTGGATAAGTTGAGATCAGTGATCAAAATCACCCGTTCTATCTAAGTAATACTACACTCATAAAAAGATTTTGATGATCTACTGTTTTATGTTTGCTTGGGTGAAAGTTAATTATTTGGTCCAAGAAGTGTGCTATAAACGGCATACCAATGTAATGCTGCACCTAAAATGAAACATTTGTGTTATAAAAAGCTATTTTTCAAGCAATTAATAAATAATAATCCAAACAGTTAGGCTTCAAATGTTCTAATGACCATCACCTTAACTATATTGTCAAGATATTAATGAAATTCACAGAAATATTTGGGTAATGTTCAGCGATAGTTTACTAGACTAAACAAAAATAAAATCCCATATAAACATTGCAGTTCTCATTCAAATTATTTAATCAGTGCATAACTGCAGATATAAATTAGGATCACAAATGTTATATGAAAAAAGCTATACATAACGAACTTACCAACAACAACATGAAGATGCCAAAGTGTATGCGCAAAAGGTATGATGCCGTCTGATTTAAAAAATAATAACGCCTATCGTGTAAACAATACCACCAGCTAGCATTAACGTTAGATCACTAAGGTCACACTAAAATTGATTTTTAAAAAAATGACAAACTTTATCAATTCCTTAAAATTTATTGAGGTACTTTTTTTTACACTCCTAAAAAAAGAATGAAACATACCATACTGTATATAGCACTAAAAGGTACGACAGCAAAAGAAATATACAATAAAGTCTCTATCGTTTTGAATCTGAAATTGATCGTCGATAAATAAGGACATGAAGAATGTTACTTCCACTCTAATAGAATTAATTTAAACGAATCCTTATAAAATTTAAAAAATTTGTAAGACAGAAATGGAAACTAAATATTGGAAATTTTTGAAGATGTGGGCGGAGAATGTACAAATGAAATGACCAACTTTGTACAAGTGAAAGTTTAATCTACCTTTCGTGAAAAATACACTGATAGATGGTACCCAAAAAGGCAAACAACCAAACAAGCCATTTGAAATTATTTCCTGGAGATTCATACTGCCTTAACGTAAACCATGGCATGTAGGAAGCAGCAATAAAAAAGTAGATGGCGGCACGATCAATTATATGAAGGTAATAACGAAATTTCCTGAATAATTATAGTAAAATTGAAAAAGGAAAGAACTTATTAAAAATAAGTAATTGTTTTCGAAAATAAAATAGATTTTGGACTGTTTTGATAAAACATACTTCTTGTCCGGACGAAAAAGAAGTTCACATGTATGATAAGCTGTTGATGTAGTAAAAAGCACCTTAAAAAATTGAAATCGTATAAAAATTAGGAAAAATAACTTTTATGAAAATGTGAAATGGGACTTAGAACCCACGATTACATCAAATTATAGCAACCAATATCAATTAGTTGAAATAGATGAATGTTGGAAATTTTTAATATGAATGAATAGATGTCTACAAATATACCGTAATAAAAAAGCAGTAAATTATGGACACGTTTCGCTCTGACTCACGACGTGACGCAGCAATTAAGCACTGTGTTCCATATATACTCGGAAGTATTGCTACCTGAATAATTAAATTCCCTTGAAAATAGCGTAGAAATGAACAAAATCATCAATAGGTTACTTAATTTGAAATTAATAATATAAAAAAACTAAGAAATAAAAACAGTGAAAGGACTTTCAGCTCGATCTTTAGTTTTCCTGTGCATTACTGTCGATATGCGTTTACGCAAGAAACACGTTCTGAGGTGAAGGAAAACAATACTTCAGCAACTCAGCTTCACTTTTCTGGAGAACTGATGTTAAGCTACAATAAAAATGCGTAGCAAGAACTTTCGGTGTAATCTGAATTAAGGGTAAAATTTACAGTCAAAATTCAAAATTTAGAAATGTTAACTTACTCCATGAGAAAGGATATTTGCGACATGTTCATAACGTGTCGGCTCATACGCTTCACCTCGAGCAGCTCTTTTGTTCATATAAGAACTAAAAAAGCATCATTTTGCAATTATGAAGTTTTAGAACTAAAAACTCTGCCAATCTTTGTGAGGACCTATTAGGTCAGCTTTTTGGATACGAAAAAAAAAAAAAAAACAAAAAACAAAAGAAATAATTTGTCAATTTTAAAAGAATTTAGATAAATCACTAAGATTAATACAAATGTAATTACCATTGATGTAATTTTATCTACACCAATAGTATTTTGCAATAACAAATAATTTCGAAAGGATGCTAGAATGATAAAGAAAATCTCAAACTGTTAATGTATAGCTTAATCTTGTATCTGCAGTGGACCAATCAGCTCCAGAAATTTAAACTGTTTTACAAGTCGATTCATTAAAGTTTGTAAAAAAAATCAAAGAAAAGATTATTGCAAATTACCTGAAAATACAAGTGTTCATAACGTAGCAACCGGTTTTTATTTGTAAAGAGTTTGAGAAGCGACAAGGAGTTTAAACCTGTCTGCAAAGTTTATTAAATAACCTCATATTACAGACATATATATATATACTCATTTCTGTTCTATTTCTAAAATCAATTTCTTAAAACAAATTCAATCCAATTTCATAGAATAAATTTAACTGGCAGCTAGATCAGTCGGGATAGCAAGACTCAAAGCTAAAAATTTTTAGCCTCCCTCTCTAAATCTGAACAGGGAAAATGCATGTATCTAAAATTTAAGTCATTGATCTCGAACTGAAACAAAGGCACAAACATCAGAGCTTTAATCCCGATAATTTATATAAGTACTCACCTCTTCCCTTCTATACCTTCCGGATCTTCTTATTTAAACAACATCACTAACAATTATCAGCCAAATATAGGACTCCAGCCAAATGATATTTTTCTAACCGGGTTTTAAACTACCACCTAAAATTAAAGTTTTGTGATCAGGTTGGTCGTACACTAAGTTACAATAAAAGGAAGCAAAATACTGTAACCAATGAAATACATCATCACATCATATTGTTTATTAAAACTTCATGGACTTTATTCTGATGAGAAACACTGTATGAGAACGATTATGAATGCACGAATAAATTCTTTACTGAGGAAAATGAGAGCTCAGCTCAATTCCCATAAAGTTTGAATTTTATATTAAATCTTAAGATTTCATCCCCTATACAATTAGTGTCTTGGATAACAAACTTAAGACATGATAAAAACTTATCAAGAGAGTTTAAAACACATGAAATGGAAGCTACCGCGTGAAATGTAACACTCCTTATGCCACTCAAAGTCCTCAAGCCAGTTGTTGATCAGAATGGGCAACAGCATGAATGAATTAACGCTTTGATGGGTTAGTTTTGTGAGAGGCCTTCCTCCTCGAATGCCACTTTTTTTACAGATGAACACATGTCATGCTAGTTTGTTTATCATCTTTTAGATTGACAAGTTCCAAAGTAATCTGCAGATGTCATGAAAAACATAATTTTCTTGTGCTATTTCTCAAATCACTTCTTCCTTCCTCTTCTTCTATGTTTTCCTCCTCGCTCCAAACTTTATTCTCTTTCTCCCTTCGCCTTTCCAATTAAAAAGTTAAAACTGCCACATAAGCAAAATACGGAAAATACTGGATAGAAAAAATTAATACAAGTTCAGCGTTATCCAAAATAAACGAATAAAAGTGAAAAAGCTATTGCATTAAAAAAAAAGTTACAACAGTGCAAGAAATACTCGATATATTAAGAATGTGGAAGCGGTGAAATGTTCGCCAGAGTATTTAAATCTTCTTCGAAAGGGTCAGGTCGTGATGCTGATGCTGAGACACTATCTAAAGCAAGAAAAGGGTTAGTGACATGAAAAACTTTACAACAAAGAATTAGCAACTTAATGCTAGATGAATAGCTCAGAAGTAGCACTCTTTTGTCCATATAAAATTAGACAGTTATCACTTAATGAAGGAAATGAAAAATCTTAACACCATATAAGCAGTAAACAAGCTAACGATAGGAATAGATAACTGACTCTGTCAAGGATTCAAAAACATGCCTCAATATTATATAAATCATCTGAAAAATAAATTCAAAGAACAATTTATAAGATGAAAAAAAGTCTATTACCTAACTTTTCCATTCCACTGTCTCCTGAATGAATTAAGTTTGATTCACTTGCCATGTTGCAAAGCTCCGCTTCTGAAGCTACGTCTGATTTTTCTGCGCTCCCTTCATTAGCCAGTGGTGTCCATTCTCGGATACTGGGAAAATTTGGTGAAGCTGAATTAATTGTAGGGACAATACTTCCGTCTGGTCGTAAAGATACAATCCTCAATGAAGGCCTACAAAAACTATTCATAATGTTGCATTCGTTAGCAATGTTTCTTGAGAATTTTTGATCAAGAGATTAGGCTCAGATCAGAAAAAATCATTCAAAAGAAATTTTTATTGCTAAGAAATCCTAATTCTACTTTAGCACAAATTAACCTTTGTAAAACAATGTCAAAAAATCGCTTTGGTAACTGTCCGGCGCTATTATCAGATGTTGTATTTGAACTTGAACTACCATCCGCCATGTTGCTACTAATTTCTATAATGGTATTGACACCCACTTCAACCTTCTCTACTGATTGATTATCTATTAATACAGGATCCGTGGAAACAGCTGCATCTGTTGTTGGAATTTTTGTTGGAATGTACTGCACTGTCACTTTATCTTCATCTGAACGTAAACTGATTGGCATTTCTGATTTTTCCTGAAAATCATATAAACAAAAAATAGGAATTATTCATTTTATATTTCGAAGGCTTCAGTACTTGAATCTTCAATACGGTCGCATATAAAATCTTAATTTGAAATTTTGCAGTGATGAAAAATTAATAAGTTTTATTAATTTACCAATAATGTGAAGCACATAGCACAGGATACTAACACCATAAAAACCATACAAGAATGTTAGGTTTAACTAGCAGATGGTTTTGAAAAGATCAGCGGAGAAAATATATACAGGCATATTTGTCTTTCCCATGCCGATCGAAAAGTTGTGTACGTATGCAACGCCCGATTAACAAAACAAGGATTACAAGAAGCTGAACTGAAGATAGAGTTCAACGCCAAAACTCTGAAGAATTTAAAATGAGTGGATCGGCGAAGTTAAGCACTACAGTTCAATAATTATACAAGTTCAACAACATGAGCACCAATTCATCGAGAGCGACAATTCTAATTGAAAATCGATGGTAGCGTGAAAATAGAAGCAACAGCAGTGAGGGAATGAAAGAACAATGATAGTTACAAAAGTGAACATTCATAGGACTTTCACAACAAAAAGCAATCAACAAATTAGAAGGATCTCTTCCCCGAAATGGAACAGTTATATTTTTAATGTTACATTTAGAATAAGATAATAACTGAGAGACAAACATAAGTAATAAAATCTACTAAAAAAAAAAGAAAAAAAAAGTAAGAGTATGAAACCAACATTTGTTGACGTTGAATATATAGTTGCTTCCTTCAATGGAACACTCGGTACGAATTTTTCTTTCAAAACGACAGGAAGTGAAACATCGGCTGTTTTCCTAATTTCTACCAAAACTTCGTCATTCACATTTACACTGCTATTACTTCTCACGTATTGAGATGATCGCTCAGTAACACTGCGCGATGAAGTAGTACTCGACTAAAAAAGTCACAGCGGCTCTTAAAAATTTTGTTATAAAGAGTGCTTTTTACAAACGAAAACATCATGCTTATTACTTTTTGAAATAATGCACTTAGTCTTCCGTTAATTATTGTTAATTCACTGAAGAAAACTTTTTAAAAAAGCACATATACCTTCCTTATAGGTAACAATTTTTGTTTGTGTTCGCTTTTCTGAATTGTTTGTAATAGCGAACCATTAGATGATAAGGATGAATTACTTGATGTATATGATGTAGTTGAAGTACTTTTGAGAAAGAAAAAGAGTTTGAATTTTGTGGATTTTTGGACGATTCTCGACGTCTTCTATTTGTATTGTCCCTAGGAATAAAGAAATTGTTTACAAGAAAACAAAAATCGAACATAGAATATTTCCGCACTGATAACAATTTGCTAACCTTGATGAATGACCACTAGTAAGATTATCCAAACGCGGAATATCGATAGTTGGAGCTGGTGGATTAACTGGCATTAGAGGAGAAGTTCTAAATTCCTGCCAATGTTTGTGGATATGTTTTCGCGACGAAGCATTATCTTTTTCTAAAAAAGAAAAGATTATCGCGAAAACAATAACAGCACAATATTAATTTCAGACCTAAATATTTTCATCCAACGATTCGTTACTACAAATAATTCAGAAAAGCGAACACAACAAATAAAAAATAAAGCATATTTTGTAGAAAATAAAAACGATCTAGTAAAACATACATAGAAATACAAGTATAAAAAATATACGCGTAAAAAAAATTTTTTTTTCTTGATACTAACGCTTTGGATTTTGGCATAAATTACGAAAGCTATCATACAATTCCAATGTCTCATTCTTCATCAGGAATAAAATTCCATCGATGTTGCAGAATGAGAATGAGGATTAATGAAAATAGGATATTATGACAAAATTTTTTGAACGGAATATAGCAAATTTTGGAATTGTGAATGATTTCAAAATCACGGCTTCACTAAATTCAACCTCTAATGACCATTTTTAAATAAACAACGCTTAATGTAAATAGGAAAGATTTTCATCTTCAGGTTATTGAGGACAACATAGCTTAAAGTTTAGCTTTATCAACTTATATACAGAAATAAAATATACCAAAACGTTGCACAATATCTTTCTCTGATTCATCGTTATGTTCGCTCAAAAATCTCAACACAGATTCGGACGATGGTGGTTCGTTTGAGGGTGACAATATGCTGTGCTGAAATATATAAACTAGCTACAAAGCGTTATCGCTGTTTAAAGCATGATTAACATAACCACTAACATCAAATTTTGTTAAACATTTTTTTTGTCTAAAACACTGGCATGAAAAATTTCCCAAGTCACTACTTTTCTGTCCTCGTATTGCATAATTCCAAATACATCAGAGTAAATAAATAAATAAAAACAAAATACTTCTTGAAATAACTATAAATAATGCATTCTGCCGAAATCAGAAAAGAAAAGACTTCATTATTCACCTGCAAATGTGCATATATACTTTCAAGACGAGCTACAATGAGGCGCTGAATTGGTTCAACGAAATTTCTGAAACTTTTCCTGAGAAAATGATAACTGTTAGCTAAAACTCTTGTTAACTATCGCTAACATAAATTAGTATGATCAAACATGAAAGATTAAACTTAGTTGAAAATCCAATCTTTTGTAAACGACTTACTCAAATTTAGCATTTACGATACTTTCAACCGTTCGTTCCGGGTTGGCACAAAAGTCTGCAACTGCTTGACGTACTGCCAGCCGGATGTTTGATATTGTTACTTCTGAACATACATTCGCTTTTGGCATTTCTGTTTTCCTATAAATAAATAATATTTTTAAAACAAATTTCAATTTTCCACACTGAAACTTTCAAGTAGGAGAAATCTTACTAACAAAACCATTAGAAAAAATCAATTTTTTATCTTTTTGAAGTGGTAACACATTTCCATCTCTAACAGTGGTGCGCTGTAAAACACCGATATAACGCTTTCGCTACAATTATGCATAGCTTGCAATAAATTTTTCATTTAACAAACATAATTCATAGCTTTTCTCTGTAACTACTTCATTGTTTAGTGAGATCAACGAATTTTTAAATACTTAAAAGAAATAAATAATTCAATGCACGTATAAACAACATTTACTGAAAGTTTACAACAGAAAATACTTACAGAAACCAGGAGTAAGCATGGACTAACAGTAATATTGATTGAATAGACTATACTTTCAATACTGATAGTGGTGCTACGGCACAGCAGTAATTCTATAATCTTAACCGAATATGAATAATATAGTTTGTTCACTTGTGGAACCAAATAAGGATAATTTATCAATTGAGTTCAAAAGTAGTGAGAAGCACACTGAACAAATTTTCAGGTTTGTAAACTAATAATATACCAAAGAAATACCTAACTGAAGAGGTTCAAGCGTTAAATTCCAACCTTCACATAATCAGTTTCAGATGTAACAAAATGATAAGCAATGTATTAGCCCATCACAAATATTTCCAACTTTTACATCGTTACTGTTCTAAGTTAATCTGAAGCTAGAATTTATGAATTTTGATAAATGGCAAACAATTTATCATGAAATCCATGATTGCAGTTAAATGTTGTTGAAGTATAACGCAGAATCTATATTGTACTTTCAGACTTTTCACAAACTGATCATTCTGTAATTACCCACTGGAATAATATCAAAAGTAGCGACCGATCAGATGCAAGATTTCTATAGAATGTTTATTATATTGCATGATAATTCATACTTTCATAACTTCATGTTTTCAACTGATTTATATGTTGCTCCTTCTTATAGCACTAATTTATAGCATTAATCGATAATTCAACTTTCAGTATAAAATCTTTCTAATGTTTTATACTCATAAAGCTTCCGAAATCATCATTTTGTCATTAATAATTTACGTAATTGAATGCTTGCGTCACATCGCTAATTAAGATGAATGTGCATTTCACGTTATCTCATACGTAGTGGTTAAATATCATCCAAACTTATACTGATAAATAAGTGATAGACAGAAACGAAAGAAGCGGACAGACATGACGCTGACCGTATAGATAAGACATTCAGGACGTTATTCTTTCATTTCCCTGGCTGAGTTACACATGCAAATAAAAAAATTGGACAAACATGAATAAGAGTGGCAGACATGAATAGGAGTGGACACATAGATATGAACGAACAGACGTGATGAACGTGGATAGCAGTAGACGGACGTGGATATAAATAGACAAATCTCGACAGAAATGAACAAACATGGATATGGATGGACATGAAGAGACGTAACGTAACACCCAGCTGTCGCAAATATCGAACTTGTCATAATTCAAAATATTGGTAGATCGCCAACTACCGTAATGCATTGCAATAAACATTTCAGTGTTGACTGAGAATCAATGCGATGATGCCGAGTAGCATCTCCAGAGGCTATCTTCCAACTTACGCACGGACTTAGTTTTTGTGCGGATGCGAGGATGGCACGTGTGGTTCTAAGAGTGCGTACTAAATTCCCGTGGGTTCGCGGTGAATTCTGTGAATTCACACTGTGATGCTCACCGAATTATGTTAATTTCTAAAAATTCATCAATTTTTGTTAGCCATTTATAGTTATGGGTTTATTGATTGACTTTACACTACATTTTCTACCAAAGTTGTTTATCGTTTATATGAAATGATACTGTCATTAAGAAATTTCCGAAATTTATTTTTACTTCTTTCGGAGAAAATTGTAAAAAATGCGCCATACTTTCATATTCGGGCTTCTAGTTCATAGAAAAATTCCATAATAGCTTGAAATTTGATCTTGATGATAATATAGAAGTTTGGTTTTTGTCAAAAATGACTCTGATCGGTTAGTAGAAAAGTTTTAGTATACACAAAGGAGAGGGAATAACGGAAAAAAGATATAATCAATTGTAGAGTTATGGTACAAAATCATTTTAATTATTCCGGAAAGTTATTTGGTAGGATTGGTCAAAAAGTTTGCGATCGCTCGTTTCATCTTTTCATGGCTTCCTTTACATGTCCAGTAAAAGAGTAAGGAAAATGGAAGGGAATAGAAAACGATAAACGGCAAGAAATCGGATTTGGATGTGATATCAGGAATTAACAGAATTCTTTCTTGAGATAACTATTTAGATTTGTTCTTTTACATTAAGCGATGAGGATAATGTGGTAGTTTGGAAAGTTCGCAAAAAGTTCACAAATAACCAGTTTAGGCGCTTCTGTCAGTTAAATCAAGGTACTT